TGTTAGCCGCCTAGAGTGGTCCTCACACGACCAGATAGGCGGGATATAAAATAAATAAATAAATAAATAAATAAATAAATAAATAAATAAATCAAGGTACATTTATGAGAAAACAAAACAGAAAAGTAAAATAATTGCAAAATTCAGCATTAGGTTTCCTGTTTCTGTTACTGGGATGGAGAATAGAGTGCAATATACTAAATAGTTTCATAGAGCTTAAATTGTTTTACATTTTATTCATAAAACTATGTTTCACGTTGTTTTTGTTGAAACCAACCTTGAACTTTGATCTAGGATGAACTTCTTCATCTTTTTGGCTGTCCGGGTTATCCACAAACCTCTTCTGGAGCACCACATTTTAAACAAACCAATGGACTTGGAAATTGTTTTACGTACGTTGTTCTTGTTGAATTCAGTCCTGGAGCTTGTGATCTGGACAACAACCCCATAGCCATAATTTTGTAAGAGCTGAGTAGAGTTATTCATAAATTCAGCATAAACTGGACACAACATGACACCTGTCCTGGACTGTACTAAAGGGGCAGCGAAGTGGGAAAAAAGCACTGGAGAAAAATAACCGAGAGAATAAAATACCAGCAGCAATAAAGTGCAAACTGAGAAGAATAGGTATAACCTCAAAAGGTACAAGAAAATAGTTCATGTCACTCCTTGTTAAAAAGAAATAGTGACATAATTTTAGGTGCCGTTATATTGCTAGGGGAATATGAATCTATATGAAGTTCAGATATTAAGTAAATAAAAAATAAGGGCATGAACTGCAGATTAGTTGCATTTTTTCAGGTGTAAGTAGTATCGAACCCGGACAGTTTACTGCACCTTTTAAAATATATATTCTGGGCATGCAGTTCTATTTCAGAGTAGAAGAAAAAGTCATTAAAAGCTCTTCTATCTTTTATTTATAGAGCTTAAAATTGAAATAAGAATTTTAAGAAAGTAATATGGCAAAAGTACAAAATTTAGAGGAACTTTCACACCAAAAAAGGTAATACTTTTCTGTATCCTAGGCGTGTAGTGTACAGTGAGGTCTTGACTTGAGAACTTAATCCGTATTGGAAGGCGGTTCTCAAGTCAAAATGTTCTCAAGTCAAATCTGCATTTCCCATAGGA